TGCGTAAAATGCCTCTTGTATGTCTTGTAGCCATTGAATTTGAAACAGTGGTTTTCTTGTAGGAGTGTTTCTTGAAGCAGTATAATGTCAAGCTTGTCCTTGGCTGCTGCTTCTTGCAGGAGGTGTTTCTTTTTTTTGATGCCCTGAGCATTCCATAATAAGGATGTTCAGGGTGCTGGTGTTTTCCACCACTGTTTCATCGGGGACTTCTGGTGATCTTCGATGGATATGTTCAGGTCTGATTCCGACTGGATCAGGTTCATATCCTCTTGTTCTGTGGTGGTTTTTGCCTTCTGGGCCGTGGTTCGGCTCAGGGGAGTTGAAACGTCCAGTTTCTTTCTGGGAGCTGTCGGTATCTTTGGTTCCCTGGTGGCCTTTATTCGGTGTAGAGTGTATGTACCTCGGCTGTCACTCGTGTGGGGGCCGGCATGGTGTCCTCCACTGAGGTGGCTGGGGCTGGAGCTGTGACGACTTGCCCGAGGACGCTCCCCATGTGTATTTGGAGCTGTGTAGGTTGGATCTTGTGGCCCAGTAGTCCGGCTAGGCCCTCTGCGAAGGTTGTCAGTACCTTGGCTGGGTCTGATACGTGTATCATTCCTTCTGGTGCCTTGGTGTGTGCTTGTTTTGTCTTTTTCGTAGTTGTTGTCATTGTCTGCTGCTTGGGAGGCTGAGGTGTGGGCGTAGGGAGGCCAGGAAACTTGGCTGCACTTTGGGTGTTGACCGGTTGAGGGGGTGGGCTTTGTTGTCTTTGCATTTGGGTTCCCCACACGAAGGTACTTGATGGGGCTGGTGTGCAGCGGTGGGGGCCGGTCTTGCTGCTGGTCGGTTTGCCTGGACCCTCTTTGTCCTCTCGGAGCATCCAGGGTTCCAGGCGTGGTGTTTGCCTCCACAGTTGGCACTCTTGGGGGCAATTTTTTTCCCCATTCTTCAACTTGGTGAGGCAGGAGTGTGTGACGTGCTTCTGTGCGCAGACGGCGCAGATTTCCTTGTACGTGCACCTCGTCTGATGGTGCCCGTATTTCTGGCATCTGAAGCACCGCAGGGGTTCTGGAACTAATGGCCTCACTTCGTAGATCCCCAGGTTTTGAGGTCTATGGTACTGGGGGGTGGACCGTAGTGCGTTATGAGCACTTGTTTTGTGGTGGCCGTCTTGTCGGTCGGGGGAGAGCATCTTTCGGCTTTTAGGATCTTCGGATGGTTCTCCAAGGGTTCGAGGGGTAACTCCTTTGGGTATAGGAGGACTACCGACTTCATCAGTTTTTAGGCGGGGTCCAGCTTGGTTGATGCAACGGTGGTAATGTTTTTTAGGTAAGTGCCGAGGGTGGTGGCGGAGTCCTTGTCTTTGGGGTGAATAATCATCTCCCCATTTAGGTTGGGCCGCTCTGAGAACGTGGCCAGTGGGTTTTGTTTCTCCATCTCTGTGATGGCGGCACATATCGTTTTCGTGTCCGTTTTCGAGATCCGGAATTTTGGCACTGTCGTTGGGGACGAGTTGGTATTGGATATGGGTGCCTTTTGAGCTGCTTAGCGGATTTCGTTTCCCGAAAAAGCACGTCGACGTTTTTCGTTTTCAACTTTCACCCAGTTGTCGTCCTCATTGGCGGTAACAGTGGTGGTGAAGTTGTTGGGGGCGGTGGCAGAGGTGTGGGTGGCGTTGTTCTTGCCCTTCAGGGCTTTGTGGAAGGCCTGCAGCTGGTCCGCTTTTTCTGTGCGGAGCCTGTCGTGGTTCGAGTCGTCAGGTTGGCTGTTCAGGCGGGGGTCGCGGTTAGGAGGGCGTACGCGCTCCATAACCGATGGATAAGTGGCGTTTTCTTCTTCTTTAGAGATTTTTCTGTTGTTCAGATCCTACCTATTCCGGTTGAGTAAGTAGCAGAGAAATTTCAACACTCCCCGCAGGCACTTGATGGCCGGGTGGTCGTAGAGTGGTTCCTGAGCTTCTCTCCCAGAGCCCCGTTTGGGGAAACCTACTTCTTAGTGTATGTGACTGATCACTTATAGACGTGAGCTAAGGATGATGATTGCTACCCTCTCTCCAGGTGGACCCGCACAATCACTGTTTTCCTGGAAAGGCTCGGCAGAGGGATGGGTTCTTGCTCCAACCCCCTTTCGTGTTCACAATCTCCTGGGAGGGAGGTGAACAGTTACAAGGGGGACCGCAGGACGAATATACTTTTGAGGGTGCAGGTCCCTAGGCCAGAGCGAAAAAGGGAAAAATAGTAGTAGAAGGAAAAGAGCTCAAACCACGTCGGGAATATCGCGCTATAGCTGCTCTCCAGCTGGAGTGTGGGTCACTCACACCACCAGTGGGGGGGGCAAACTAATCCTCGATAAACCGAGAACACTCGTGAGATGTTGTCGACGGTCCGGTCAGCAAAGTTGGCCAACAATGACAGCAGAGAAGGCAGGTCTTCACAGCTCCTGGTCCGGCAGTCGAATGATGACTAGTTACGTCGCCCTTTCTTGTAAGCTCCTCTTGTATTTCCTGTGGTGGTGGTGTGTGGATTAGTGGATGTCGTGTTTTTTACCTGACCTCATGTTTTGTAAGATCACCCTGTGTACATAAGCCTCTCTCAGTCCTTGTAATTCAGTTGCCTCTGAAGATGTCTTGAATAAAGACGAAAGCTAAGGTACTCCATTGTTTCCCTTTTTCCTGTGTGATTTTATCAAGATTTATCTTATCCACGTTTCCATTGTGAACTACATGAAAAAAAAAAAAAAAAAAAAAAAAATAAAAATAAAAATATATATATATATATATATATATATATATATATATATATATATATATATATATATATATATATATATATATATATATATATATATATATATATATATATATATATATATATATATATATATATATATATATATATATATATATATATATATATATATATATATATATATATTATTTCTTTTTATTATTATCTTTTTTCTTCTGTATTTAGGTACTTTAACTGCCGAGTTTTCAAGCCCCATTTATTAGACAAGATCACCTTACATATTATTATTATTTGTTGTAATGTATCGTTTCTATCCACAACAGATACATCTTAACGATTTACCTCATATAAAGATTGGAAACTCTTACCCTAAGTGAGTGTAGTCACCCAATGAGTTGGTCATCAGCAGCAGTTAACCACCATGACAGTGGCAAAGCACATGCGCATGATCCCTTAATTTCTATTTTCATTATCCTAATCCTATGCTATAAAAAAACTATCAACGGGGTTAAGAGACTGTTCCAGAACAAGTGAAACCAGTTAAGTAATGGTTAGTAAGTCTGCAAAGTGTTCCGTGGTTTACCCAACTACCACCTGGCAGACCGATGAGAGGTGACACCTGCTCTCTCTTTCTCACAGAACAAGTACAATACTTCCCTAACTACCGAGATAACAAGAAGAGTGTAAACACTACAGGTAACAAAGTCGCTACAGATCGTACGGTCACCCGGTGGCAAGTGGGAGATAAAGTACACCCTCACTGCTAGTAACAGTCTCACATTTACAATAGTCCCAGAAGAATTTATTATTAATTTAATTTTCCTTAATGAAACACCAATCTTTCCTCTGCTATAGAACCTAACTTGATTAAACGTCAACGGAGTTATAAAACATAACAATTCGTGGAAAATAGATTAAAGACACAGAGTTGTATTACATTTCTGTAATAGCTTTTGTAAAATACTGTTTAGTTAAAACTCCTTATCCCGGCATCATATGATGTACAGTATATTGCGTGCCATTACATAAAAGTAGGATGAAATATGTTGAATGTATTCCTGAGTGAAGTGGAAATATACCTACCAGGTGACAGTGCCTGGGACTTTGTGCCGTGGGATTTGTCACTCAAGGTTCAGTGTACTGTGAGTGTGTGAAGGACGACACTCCTCGCTCTCTAAAGATTATCATCAACTCACCCTATAAGAGTTTCTTAAGCTCAACTCTTCACCTACTTTAAACAAAGTTTTGTCTAACATTATTGTCACTATAAACTATTCCCAATTAGATTTTAAGCTGTAATTCCCTAGAGAAAAACTTCAAACCAATTCTACATGGACTAAATGCTCTTATCTGTGTGTGTGTGTGTGTGTGTGTGTGTACAGGTTTTCCAGGAAATATATGTATAAACACCCATATACTTAAAGAAAAACTAACTAAACGTGCCCTAAAGCTTTAATATTCCGTGTTTACCAGTGGGCTTGTTAAAAAATTACTTAAGTGTCACTTGATACACCCACGATGGGCAGTATGATAACTGGGTATTAAACTCACACTGGAACTAGCTAAGCTTACTCAGTAGTAAAGCTCCTGCCTCCCACCCTGCGCGTCCACGTTCAAGCCTGGCGTGTGGGTGTCAGCCTCTACAGTGTACATCACTTGACAATATAGGGTTGATGTCCTGATCCTCCCCGGCAAAACAGACGTTCCATAAAAAAATTATGATGTAAAATTTCTCGCAACATTTAATTAAACTTCTGGATTAAAATAAGATGTAAAAAATTAATCAAAATTTTCACTCTCACCAACACAGTTGTGTGCAAGTTATCATTCTTGAGATTTAATATATCGTACTGGTTAATGAAAGTTTTTCTTACTCACAAACTTACTTACAAAGATAACGCAAATAAAGTTAAGTAACGTTATGATAATGGCTTAAATATTTAACCAAATTTGTAATACCATCGCAGCAATAATCGTATGTTCATCCACACATATTGTTTGTAAGCCACCACTCGACAAAAAAGTTTCCTAGATGTTACTTAATCAAAATTGGTATTCATAGAGCTAGATGACGCAGTTGTTTTCCTATTACAAATAATTACCATAAAATAACTAAGCAGCTTATCTTCTAGAAAGGTAATCCCAAAATAAGTTTTGTTTACAGATGTTCTTCTGCCACCTTATGTACCGTACATAAGTCCCTACAGCTGACTCTAATCCTCCAATAAAATATTATTCTAGTGTGCGTTGCTTGACGTGTTTTCACCTCGACAGGCTTGGAGGACGAGTGGGCCGGGCTCCCTCAGGCGTCCTTCGCCCAGTATCCACCTGCCCTAGACGATACCTCTGAGGCCCAACCCCTCAGTCTGCTCTACAACATGTATCCCTCCGTCACCTCCGCAGACACGGTAAATAAAAATGTAGCAATACTCTTACTTTTGACATTGTTGCAAGCTTTCGTAACTCTCCTAGCTTCATGACAATTTTTGCAGCATGAATGAATGCACTGACAGCGAGAAATGTGTAGTAGCAAGGTAAAGCCATTTGGTCAGTCTCGGAATGTTAATTTTTAAAAACCTCCTTACACCAATTATATCGTCTCCTGACCTCTTACCTCCTTCCCACAGGTCCCCCCAAAGTCACAGGAGCTTCAATATAACAGTCAAGACACACCCAAGAGACTCTACTACTCCCAGCGACCTGGCAAGAGAAGCGTAGATCTCTACGATGACGAGGTGAGGAGCTGGCCGGGGAAGTCAAGGAAGGATGAAAATGGGAAGAGAAAATATAAAGTAGAGTAATTTAGGGATAAGCTAAAGTACGCTAGTTAAGGGAGAAACGTGATATGTGTAAAGTAACGCAGGAAAAAGAGAGTTAGGAGACGGCTGAGTTGGATATGACATTCCAAGGTAAGCTAATTGGGGGACGGACGCTAAGGGAAGAGGTTTATGACCATGGAAACAAACAAAGAGGGGAAGTTAAGGATAGTTACATGGAGTGGTAGTTAACGTAAAGACAATCATAAGGAAGGGACTTGCAAATTTACGACAAAGTTAATCAGATTACCACATAGAGCTGACACATAGAAGTAGGTATATATTCACTATGAAGAATTCAGTCACTAAATTTTGCTCATAACATGAGGTGTAAGAATGCAGCGAACAGGCTGATGAAAAAAAAAGAGAAGACTTCCAGAAAGATATAAAAATTACAGTGAAACTTTATCTTACCGGCATACATGCCTTTAAAACCAGCTAGGTGAAAAGAAAAACATACATTTTGTAAGTACCTAACTGGAACCATGACCCAAGACAGAAAAACAAATAATTTAGACGTTAGGAATATTAAAAAATGAATCCCTAATAAGCAATATTAATTTAAGTGCACAGTTGCCAGCAAAAGTTCTCCCACAGCACTGTGTACCAGGGCTGTGGGAGGATTTTTGCTGCCAAATGTACATATTCCATAACAAAAGAATTAACGTGAATAAAGTAACTAATATTCTAGGATGTGCGATATGGCGGAGTTAAAGTAATGTACTTTATTTTGATTATCAGAATCAAATTTTCTTCTCTTTATTCTGGAAGAGGTTTCATCATTTAAGACCATAATCACTCATGCTCATATTTACAAGTAGCGAAAGCCTGGCGTTTACAATGTATAGTACAGTAGTGGTGATTCTGTGGGCGGCGGGAAAAGAAGAAGTGCTCCTTAGGTACTCTAGAAAATACTGGACTATATTATTTTATTAAATAAGTTTTCACTTCTCTTCCGAAATGACAAAATACCTAGATTATTATTTTTTCTTCAAAATTCCCCTTTCCAACGTTCTCTTCCACCTAAATAATCCACCCCCATACACGCACCCGTCTCGATCCAAACCATCCTATCTGTACCCTCCTTCACCTTTATCCCTCTCCCCTCCACTCCCCGCCCTTTCTTCTCCCACTCGCTCACTCCTCCATTCCCAACATTTTCCCCTCCGGCTTCTTTCCCATCCTGCCATCTGCTTCCATCTTTTCCCTCCTATATCTTCCTCCACCCCCACCAGGCGACAGAGACAAGTCAGAAGCAGGAGGACGATCACACCAAAAGGAACAAGAGGAGTGTGGAGAACTCTCAAGAGGTGTGTGGAAGATAACTAATGATAACACTGAGTAATAACACCAAAAATCCTTTACGCATAAGAGGTCGAGAGAATAAGTACTGCGCAATAATAAAAGAGTAATCAGAAAAATGATATACTGATATGAGAGTGAAGTGAAATATCTCTTATAAGTATGTAGCCAAGACGTAGCGTGTGTGTTTTACTGCAACGCATACATGAACCTACCATGCACACACACACCCATACATATTTGCAAACTAACACATGCACACGTGCACGCACACACACTCATACATACACATGCAAACATTCTCAAAATCACATATGTATAACTACACACACATACACACACACACAGTGGGATTTGAACAGGTAACCGCATGTAGTATGTTACCAAAATTAGTCCAGATTGTTGCCAGAATCTTCAATCTCTTCCATCCTCCTCAGGAAATGCATGATGGTTTATTACAAATAAAATTAACAGTGGCACGTCTTCTGCCATGCCGTTACAGGATCCGGAGAGGCGAATGAAGCGACAAACTCCTCAACACGACAACGAACCAACTGACGACAACGACGACAGCACTCACAGGTGGTGGTGGCCCTTCGGTGAGTTATCCAGCACCATTTGAATCTCTTTCACTTGAACCATTACCACTTTATCCTTTTATCATATGAACCAACACCATCTGAATCTCCATCATCTGCACCTTTTATCACATAAATCTTTGTTGTCTGAACCTCCGTCACCCCAATCCTCCACCATTGAGCATAAACGTAACCCTCCATTAAGGAAACCACTACTTGAGCCTTCGATAATCAAGGGTCATCTGAAATTCCACTAACTAAGCCTTCCCTCCGTGAAACTCGATTCCTTGAACCTCCCTTTTCCTTCACACTACAACCCTCCCTTGCAATTTACGTCCCTTATCTACCCGTCCTTCATTAACGTCCTCACACTCACACATAATAATACCACACACACACACACACACACACATCATGCGTCCCAAACATCTCTCATAAACATAGAATTATTGCTCTTGCTATGTTGACTTTCATCTTATGAGTGAATGTATACAGTACTGTATATACTGTATGTGCGCTTGCATACTAGTGCTAAGGTTTTATATCGTAAACTTCAGATTACACTGAATGCTCTTTAAATACCCTGATTAAATTGTAGATAATTATTATGCTTTATCGACAAGATTAATGGGCCTAATAACATTCCCTATTAAGAAAACCACACTTGAATGTCTTTTATTTTTTCTTCTGAATTTTCGGTATAAGAAAAGCAACTACAGCAACACAAAACATATTAGCTTAAAAAATTTCTTTGGACCACTAAACTCCTTTCACTCAGAATTCCCAAACCAAATATAGCTTCTTTAGCACTTTTTCCATTTCTAAATCTATTTTGCTAAATTTTACTCTACTTAACATTATGCCGGTAAATATGTACTACATTTCTGTGTCCTCTTGCGGGCTCAGAACAAAATGTAGATAAGCTTATAATTTAGTTTAGCTTGTTAATAAGAAATTCAATTAAAAATAATTAAATCTTAAAATAATATAGTCAGTCTATAAACTATTTCTCAGGCAGCACTAACCCTTTGTATTTTCAGTTGCAGTTCGTCGGTCACTATTCTCACCTCGGTTGGGTAAACGTGGAGACGACATCACCAATGAAGAACTCGCTTACGACGACAACCTGGCCACCTCAGAATACCTCCGGGACGACAATAATGATTACCTGCCGGAGGAGTTGACTGAGGACGTTACAGAGATGTCATCACCCGAAATGTTGAGCGAGTCAGCAGCGGCGTTAGTAGGGAAGAACAGTGTATCGTTCATCCCGCGCCTCGGCAAGAGAGGTGATGGTTTCGCATTCTCTCCAAGACTTGGCAAGCGAGGTGCCGACTTTGCCTTTTCCCCAAGGCTCGGAAGGCGGAGTGAATTTGTTTTTTCATCAAGGCCGGGGAAAAAATCTGACTTTGCTTTTAGTCCAAGGCTAGGCAAGAAGGCTGATTTCGCCTTCAGCCCTAGACTTGGCAAAAGGGCAGACTTCGCATTTAGCCCAAGACTTGGAAAAAAGGCCGATTTCGCCTTCAGCCCAAGACTTGGCAAAAGGGCAGACTTCGCATTCAGTCCAAGACTTGGTAAGAAGGCCGATTTCGCCTTCAGCCCTAGACTTGGCAAAAGGGCAGACTTCGCATTCAGTCCAAGACTTGGAAAAAAGGCTGATTTTGCCTTCAGTCCAAGGTTGGGCAAGAGGGATTCGGAAGACTCCAGTGTAGAGTCACGGAACACCAAGACCCAAGCCTCTATCCCTCGTCCCGGTCGGGCCTACTTCTCCCCAAGGCTTGGCTAAACCGTTCGACTGCATTACTCATAATCTCCCATACTTTGTTCTTCCCTTACCTGTCCATTACCCAAAGTTATTTATCTTCCTATGAAAAGAGAGAGCAGACTATTACCATATTCTATGTAACTCTGAAACAGAGACATAAAGGCTATACTGTATGTTGAGCACCTGACTATGTTGGTAATGAATGACCACAAGCAACTGCACTGGGATCTTAGAGAAAGAACAATACCCGTACTCTTGTCAGTAACCTTTTATCTGTTGTATGTTTGAGTCAGGACTGTCATTTGTGTTTCATGGAACGCAAAGAATCAGCATATTGCTAAAACAAATGAGCCAATAAATATTATCTTTATATATCGTTGATTATCTGGATCACGAAACCAACTTAAAAAGACACTAGAGAAGAGGTTGTTGAGCTGCACGACGCTCTGACTACCCAAAATTATCTGTTGTTAATACTAATACGTAATGCCAACACTAATCAGAGGTTATCCTTGGATACCAGTTATTCTTACAAAGCTACACACTTACACACTGTCTTGCTTACAAATTGTATGCTGTAATTAAATTAATTATATTAACTCTCACTCTTTACCAACTAACCTCACAACCCAATTTCTATCCTACAATTTAATAACCAGGTCAAGTCATCACAACTAACTGGTGCCTAACTCTAACCAACTTCTCTACCCTAACAAATTTAACTGGCCTCACACATTAACTACCTGCTCTGTCCTAATAAATAGAATGGTTGTATTAATACAGCCAATAGTCCCCCCTTCTAAATGTACATCTAACACATTTTTCCTACACTTATAACACAAACGGTTACACAAATAACTGTCCCATAAAAAAATCTGCTTAGAATTTATAGCCATAAGGCGCCCTCACAGTCGTAGAAACCTATTAATTTTATAAATACAAAATACACCTTCTGCTCTTGCAACTGAAGAACTCACATATTATTTATTTTTCAATCGGACTTACAAACCGACTTGTTGTCTTCAACTGATCCTAAAAGAGAGACAAAACACACTAGCTATGACTGCCCTCGAAACTGAACTAAAAGAAATATATTATATTTTACCCCCACAATGCAATTTGCTGCCCCCACAACTTCAAAACATAAATTATACTCATGTATAAACTACATAACTAACACCAACTTTCTGTCTTCACAAATGGATTTTAAAAGCAAAAATAGAAACTCTCGAACCAATTGATACGGTACACTGATAAACCCTTAACCATACCCAAAATATATCTATCATCGTTAAGAATTAGAAATAGTTATGTGTTCTCGTGAAGAACTGACAATACAGTACAGGAAATCACTTACCTGACATGTATCCTGAAGTATGGGTGTTCAGGTGAAGTATCCGTCATCCCCAGATCGACGTATTCAGCTGGAATATATCTCTAGGTTAAATATAACTTAAATATATCCCAAAGTTGAGGTGTTCAGCTGAAATATATCCAGATCTTGAAGTACTCACTTGAAACACACCTGAGGTCGACTTGACGCAGTGGTGTTGATTGGAAACTACATGTTGGAGAGTAAGGGTTACATATATAAGACCTGAACACCACCGTAGGTTACAGGTTCGAACCCTCGCCAGGCTACGCTTTTCTGCAGTTATACATGTGAGTGAATAACAATTTACAGTAAAAACGGCAACTAAAAATTGGTTATTAATTAATAGGGATGTAAACAATGATTTAACAATATACGTTTTAACAAAAAAAAAAGATTAATAAATAATTAACAAAGAGATAATCAACAGTGAAATGATGATTGTGTAGAAGATACAAGCTCAAACTAGGTAATTAAGATGCATGATGGGAGCTTAAATGGCATGATAATAAGAGCGTAACCTAACCTAACGTTAACGTCGATAAAAGCTGACTTACGATATAATTTTAATTAACAGGCTATTAAGACCTCAATTGCCCTCCTATGAGCTTAATTGCCCTCATATTAGCTTAAATACCATCATATGAGCTTAATCACCATCACTTTTGCTTTCTTCTTTTCTTACGGGGATTAGCTCACCCGGGCATAGGTCACTGACCCACAACACGGCCCGGGGGCGAAAATATAATAGTAATAATAATAATAATAATAATAATAATAATAATAATAATAATAATAATAATAATAATAAATATAATAATAATAATAATAATAATAATAATAATAATAATAATAATAATAATAATAATAATAATAATAATAATAATAATAATAATAATATAATAATAATATAATAATATAATAATAATAATAATAATAATAATAATGATGATGATAATAATAATAATAATAATAATAATAATAATAATAATAATAATAATAATAATAATAATAATAATAATAATAATAAAAATAATAATAATAATAATAATAATAATAATAATGATGTTGACGATGATGATAATAATAATAATAATAATAATAATAATAATAATAATAATAATAATAATAATAATATCGACAACAACGAAGATAATAATCATAATAATAATAATAATAATAATAATAATAATAATAATAATAATAATAATAATAATAATAAATCAGTACCATATTATACGACTTTCAAATATATGGTGTAAGTACTGTACTTTAGAAAGAGAAAAGGAAGGCTAAGAAAAGAAATGTTTTTATTATTGTTTCCAGAAAGATACTTAAATGTTTTAAAATTCAAGTGTATCAAGTACTTCGGAACCAAGCGAACAAGGGTGTAAAGAAATAGAATAAATTAAATTAAAGTATCAGGTTTAGTAAAATAGACTTGAAATACTAACAGAAGACTTTCCTACTAGCCGACAGGGTTGATAGATGAAATACAAAATTATATGATTTTAGGAGAATGATATAAAGTTTGTAACGATGCCAGTCTTAGAGTTTGGGGTCTCAGAAATAACAATGAGAACAAAAGGCTTTCATACCTGAATTAAAAACAAAAAAATACCAAATGTCTCGTGTGAGTCCTCATGTTCAATATAAACGGTGAAATTGGATTCAGTACAAACGAAAGCATATTTGTTAATACCAATGACACTAGCATGATACTACTAGCTTATAACAACTCTAAAATAAAATAAAAAACACGAAAGCAAAACAAAAATCATTAAAATTTCTTGTTCAAGGCATTTTCATGTCCGGCAGAAGACGTTTTAATGTCATGTACATTACCTTAGACTATTCTAACGGTAGGTTATGATGAGGGGCAAACAGATGGCTAAATTAATGGGCAAAATAAACGACTCTTATACTCAACAGTTTACAAAATAATTATCAAAACAAATGAATATGTTACGGAAAAAACAAATGCCTGAAATAATCGACAGAACAGATATTAAAAATAGTAAACCAAAAATGGGTTATACAGTAACGGTAGGCAGAACAAATAGGTACAAGTTGGCTAAAACAGAGGGTTAAAATAATGGGCAAAGGAGAGAGTTGAATCAATACCCGTTGATCCAACTCTGTTAAAACAATGCATGTGTTTAATGGTCAGAAATAGTAGTTGAGCCAGAATGTAAAACTATAAATTCATATTATATGTTACAATGTTAAACATATTTTAAATATGTTTTTTATATGAGAGAGAAACCAGAAATTCGAGAATCAAAATTAGTTCTTGTAAATTACATGGACTCCACATTTTTAACTTAAGTTGGTTAAAAATTTTAAAATAAGAGTTAAGAGAATAAGTTAACCAATTATTAAGAGGGTTAAGTGTTAATTGTTTATGTTTAAATTGTGTCTCGATCATTTACAGTAAAGGATAAGCAAGTGGCTAAGAAACTGATTAAATCTCAATAGCAACAAAGAATATAGAAACAAACATCTTACCATCAAAATAAAACTATCTATGTTCACATTCATAGGAAAACTGGTAGTCCAAATAATGACAAATCAGACAGACGTAACGTAAGAATTAATACAACAAGGGTGAAAGATGTAACTAAACTTACACCATGTCCTCGTGTCTCACTCTATCGCAGGTTTGTTGATTTCCTTTCGCCATGAGACTACCGGCTAAGACAGAAGAGGAGGACCGTCTTAGCCAGTGCCTTAGGGTGACTGGAGAAAAGAGAAGGGGATAATGGAATGGTTAAATGGCTAGTGAAGAATTGAAATGCTAGAATATTGGGTTAAGTGATTTGGGAAAGAGTTAAAAGGCTTTGTAGGGCGGCATTTTGTTTTAGTTAACTCTAGTCGATTTTATTTAGCTTAGAGGTTAGAGGTTAAAGGAAATAAAAAAAGGTTACTAGGTTAAGACCTTTAGGGAAGATTCAACGGGCGGTGCAAGAGATGAAATCATAGAGAAGAGGTGAAGAGGCTAGAAGATTGGGTTGTAATATAACTACAGGCAGTGTTGTGGTGAGGAGTAGGTTGGACCAACTGCTTACTAACATCGGTCAGTGAAAACAATAAAATCTATATTATCGTCTATTCTGGAATTTAATTTTAAGCTTATTGTACACCGACCGGTCAAAATATCCACTGCTTCTATCCGCAGGTGACATCTATTAAGGATTTTTTTAATGGTATAGCTTCTATCCAAAGGTGATATGAAATAAGAGGGTTGTTTAAGCAATACATTTATATCCAGAGGTAATCCGATCTCTGTTTATGAGTGTTTAAGGAATACGGGTTTTATCCGGAAGTAATCAAAGCATTAATGTTCAGAATGCTCTTAATTGTACAGTTGCCAAATATTGTTTTTACGATGAAATAAGGAATGACACCTAAACGCATTGTATCTGTGTCTCCATTTGAAATTTAATTCATACTTGAAATGTATTGAGAAAATACTTTTCACATGAGCATTTACCAAGATGAATGTTGCTCCAGACGTAACTTACACTTGTGTCCATACTTTTAAGTAACCTGACAAATGGATTCAACAAACTCGAAGAGCAGCCAGTGTATTCGGGTTAATTTTAGGAACTAAAAAAAAGGAATTAATTGGGGTGGGAATATAAAAAGCAAAACAGTAAGATGTTATTTGAGGCACAAGAAATAAAGGGGAGATGGGTGAAGTATGTAGAAGAGCTATACAATAATAAGCATATAGTGGAGGTAAGAAATGAAAAGGAAATAAATACAGTAACAAACTGAAAATTCTATGGAATTCATTACCTTATTGCAGATTTTATAAAACAAATGAGCAAGAATGGGATCAAATGTTTGACTTATATATTTAACTCTTTATACATCAAAGGAAACCTTCCCAGTGATTTAAAAAAAAATATTTGTGTCATTACCTAAAAAACAAAGAGACTTATGATCATATTACTAATCTTTCTCATCTTTCACCACCTTGATGTAAATACGCTCA